CTCAGCGGCTGGAGCGTTGGCCTGCAGACCGGAGAGTCCCGGGTTCGTTTCCTGCGAGGGGCACATACCAGAAGAATAGAAAGAATATTTGCTCTAATAAGATTTAAAACTGTATGCCCAACAGCTCTATAAAAACATTTCCATTTGCTACTTTTTTGACATTGTACTGTTATTTTTTTATACATAAGCCCAAACCAGCTTTTAAATACCTAACATTTATTGAGCTCTCACTAAGCATAAGCAGTGTGCTAAGGACTTTACTTATAGTACTTCATTTTATCCTCATAACCATGGGGTTGGGGTAGAAACCATAACTTCACAGTTTAGAAAAATATAGTTTGAGGGATGAAGTGACTTGTCAAGAACAGGGCTACACCAACTTTCCAGAATTAACTACTATATTCTATCATTTATTAGAGTTTGGGTTAATTAAGGAAATCTTTATTTTTATTTTAAAAACTTCCTCATTTTATGTTACATAAGTAGGATCACAGGAAGCTTTTCTAGAAGATTCTTAGAACTACAACATATTTCATTTCAATGTGATTAATTCAGATATGGAAAAATGCATGGGTCATCCTTGATCTCGGGTGACTGTAATTGTGTGACCCATCAAAGTCATGTTTTTTGGGGGGAGTTCATCTAGCTGTAGAGGCACAATCACATTGGGATCAAATAATGAATTAAAACTTGAACAGTTTGGTCATTTGGTTTTGAGTTGGTAAATGTGAATTCATAGGGAAGAGAACTCAGAGTGGGCTGGAACACCCAGAGCAGATTAGAGAGAGACTGTCGACTGTTAAACACACAGGCTCTGTGGCCAGACTGCCTGGGTTCAAAACTGGCTCAACCACTTGCTAACTGTATGACCTTGTGAAGCTCATTATCTCTCTAGACCTGAGTTTCTTTATTGTCTTTTTCTAGATGGCCATCTTCATACCATTTAGAACGTTATTGCGGCTCGCTCTGCCTGCCTGCCTGTTTTATAGGTTGCACTCACACTCCTGGAAAGTGGCTGTCCCAGCTGGCTTTGAACTGTGGTAGTAGAATCCTCTCCTGTCTGACACAGACATCTGGGCTGGAGAAGGAGCAGGTCTACAGTCCTAGGGGTCTCCCATGACATTGCACACGTACATCCTGTGACAAGCACTCAAATCTTGAGAATCCTGCAGTCCAAAATTCTCTCCTGATCTTCCTGAGGATCTGTGCTATTTAAAGAGCGGTTGCTATTTGAAAGCATTTTACTGAGAGCCAATCAAACCAATGGGCTCTATTATTGTAAGAATAAGTGATTTCTTCCTGTTGGAAATACAAATCACTCTCATCCGCTGCCTGGTTTCAAAATTTGACTCTTTATGTACTAAGAGAATGAAATAATTATTTAAGTTTAAAATGAGGGCTAAGTTTATACCCTGTAAAGAACTCAGAAAAATGCCGACAAATGATTTGTGCTCAGTAAATGCTAGATATCATCAGTAACAAGAATGACAGTAGCAGCTTGATTATCGCTAGAGTAGGTTCTCAACTGGACTTGGACAGAAAAAAGTGTTTTAACGGAGTAAAGGAGCAGGCAGGAAACAGTGGAGGCCTGGAGGACACGGCTGAGTAGCTGCTGCTGTTCAGCCCGTCTTTCAGGTTGCGGGCTTGGAAAGCTATAGTGCACTCACGAAGCACGGCTATGGTATTCCTCTTCCTGCCTCCAGACTCCGGCCCAGAGAGCAGAAAGACATTTGGGGATGGCGAGATAGTCCAGTATTTTGTTTGTTTGGGTGAAAGCAAAGATCTTCCGTTTTGGTTGTACCTTTGGAATGACAGGGGAGCTTTAAAAAATCCCAGTGCAAGTTCCCAGCCCAGAGATGCCCACATAAATAGTCTGGGTGTGGCCTGGGGTTTAGGAACACTCCTCCGATGATTCCAATGTTCACTGCAGGCAGAGAGCCACTGTGTGAGAGGGTCCCCCTGTAAGGGTCAGCCCCCTCCATTCCAGTCGCTCCCTTTTTCTCGCTACTTCCCAGCCTTGAGCAGTGGCCAAGCTCCTGGGCAGCCCTTCCCTTTTTCAGTACCCCATTTATTTCATGTGGGAGTCAAAAAAAGAATGTGTTTGATTTGTTTATTTGTAGTAGATATTCCTAGATCATACGTACTTCTCAGAAAAGGAATTGGGAATGGTGATTACTTCTCCTGTGGAAACTACTTCTGACCATACAAAAGGGCTGCCTTCCCCTGTCCCTCCCTGCTGCTGCCACATCCTTCCCCTCTCACTGACTCAGGGAACAAAAGAGCAAGACACACGTTGCTGTTCAGCTGTGGTCCCTGGTGCAACTGTACGATGGCCGACAGGTTGCGAGGTCATACATCTATCTCAGCTTCCTTTCCGCAGTGCTGTTGGGTTCCAGGACTGAATGGGAATCTAGTAATGAAATCTCAGCCACACTTTCATTAGTTTCTCCATGGTTGCTAATTTTCTTGTGCTGTAAATCACAAAGGAAAAAGAAAGATCAACAGGCAGAAATATCATTCCTTCAACAATTCCCAGTGGTTGGAGGCTGTGAAGTGAATAATGATAGCCTTTGGATTAAGCATTCATTATTTCACCACCCCCAGTGCCCTGGCTTTGCATAGTTAGCCTTGCTGCGCAGACATGGAAAGTATCTGGGCGTAACGGCCATGGTTCATCTCCTCACTTTCTCCCACTCTGTGCGCCCTGAGCCAGGGAAGGAAGGGACGCGTATTTGGGGCATTCTGTGTGACCTGGTCACACTGGGTGCTCTTACGTGCTTTCTCTCTTTGTCTTCCTAACAAGCGTGCTCCCTGCCGGACTCTGGGCTATTTGATCTAATGCATTTTGAGTTTGCTTCCTGAAGTTCTTTTCTTGGGTTTTCTTCTGACCTTGAGTGAAGCCTACTCTTCTCCATGGAGGGACAGTGGCCATACATTTCCCAGGTGTCATATAGGAATGATGCTTGTTTAAAACATGAGCCTGCTCATGATTAACCTGAACCAAGAATTTATCTTTATTTGTAACTGCATGAAAGGGATGACTGCAGCACTATATGGTGAAATAGGCATAATTTCTTATTGAAAGTCTTAGGTTCAAGTCCCAATTCAGCCACTTTATAGGCACGTGTGTTTGGAAAAGTTGAATCTTTCTGCCTCTGTATCATTATGAGTAGAATTTGTCGAATCCTAGCGCTACCTTCAAGGGTACTGGGCAGCTCAAATGAAATATTGTTGAATGAGAGTGCTTTGTGCGCCTTAGCACAGCAGAGTTGCTTTTTCTGTGTTTCGCTGTGCTCTTTTCTTCATGTTCATATGGTTACTGGTTCTACTGGATATTGTTTTCCTCACGCTTTTGCTTGTGTTGGAAGCTGTCACCCTTCTCCACCATATTATCAACTCTTATTCATTGTAGTTGTTTGATTTGTTGCCACCAAAGTATTAGTCTAATACTACCCCCTGGTACCTGTGAATATGATCTTATTAGGGAAAAGGGTCTTTGCAGGTGTAATTAAGGATCTCAGATCGACTGAATGGATCTTAAAAATCTTATGTCAAGTGACCTCATAAGAAGAGAAGACACAGACAGGAGTGGGGGACATGCAGGAGAAGGCCATGTGAAGACGGGCAGACACGGGAGTTATTCTGCAAGCCAGGAAATGCCTGGAGCCACCCTAAACTGAAGGAGGCAGGGGGGTAGAGCCTTTCGGAGGGAGTGTATCCCTGCTGACATCTTGATTTTACTTCAGGCCTTTAGAACTGTAAGAGGGTAATTTTCTGTTGTTTTGAACAAGCAGCTTTGTGGTAGTTTGTTACAGCAGCCACAGGAAACTAATACACTCATCTTTTATGGCTTGATCCTGGTGTCCTCTGCTCCTGGAAGTCTCTCCCGCATTTCCAAGTCTCTGACATTTCCCGCCTCTGTGTGCCCGTGATATCCCTCCCATCTGTCACTCGCCTTGCATCTGCTTCTGTAATGATCCACTGATGGGGCTGTCTGTCTCCATGACACCGAGGATTCGGTGGGGTTGTGCCTTATTACAGCTTCTCACATGGTGTATAGCAGGTGGATATGTTTCTGTTTTTTGCAAAATGAATTTTGCTCTCAAACTTCCTCTTTATTCAGTCGCCCACCAGCACACTGGCCTAGGCTCTCAGTGCTTGTAGGGGGACCGAGGTGTCTGGCTTCTCATCTGCAGGCACCTTTCCTCTCTCTGCACACACTGCCTTTAAGTTTCTCTAAAATACAATTCAAGAACTTGTCTACCCAGAAATTCTCAGTGCCTCTACACCTCTTGCTTTCAAGTGCCTCTACTACCTGGTCCCAAACTATGTGTCCCGCTTTCTCTGTCACTACCCTCCTTTATGAATTTCTGCTTTAGGAAAACTAATCTAGCCATGTGTTTCTAGAACATGCTTGACTAATGGAGAACCTTTGCTAGAACTGTGGATGGCAGGAAAGCCCTTTTCTTTATCACCGTTGAAATCTTAATTACCATGCAGACATTTCCATAGCATTCTTTCCCCTTCAGTGAAGAAAGGGATGTGTTTTAAATAGCATATTTTTGCTCAAAATTTTCTATGTGGATATAGAAAACTTAGTCTCCAAAAATTCTCCCTGGCCTTCTCTCTATTGAAAGCATACAGTAGCACAGTGGGCAGGGTGTGGGAGCCCTGCATTTGAATCCTGCATCAATTACTTGCTAGCTCTGTAACCTTAAGCACCTTATTTAATTTCTCTTAGCATCAGATTCTGCATCTCTGAAATGAAAATGACAATAAGATTTTATAAGGTTCTTGAGGGTTGAATGCAGTCATAATAATTGTTATTTAATGGGATTGGTTGGGGGGTGGGGACCAAAATGGTGCAATGAGGTTAACTTATTATAGTTAATTGATAGAGAATCAAATTAGGAAAGCAATGTTGGCTTGAATAAAGGCTGTGCTCTAATTGATTCTGTGTTTCTTGAGGGAAATCATTTCCATTGCTTAATTCTTTGCAGAATAACGGGACCACTGAGCACCAGGTGGAATCTTTCATAAGAAAAAAACTGGAGTCACTGTTAAAAGAATCTCAAATTCGAGACAAAGAAGAACCTGATAGTTTCACAGTGAGGGCACTACTGAAGGCCACGCATGAAGGCTTAAATGCACACCTGAAGCAGGTATACGACTCCCTCTTGCACTTATCCTTTGGCAGGAAAAAGAAAGCATGTCATACATTGTTTCTGATCATTTGTCATTTGTAGAATGCTTCTCCAGTTGCTGCCATTTCTATCTTCGTATTGCTTGAGAATTAAAAACCTTCTACTGCAAAATGATGTGAGAAATAGTTAAAAAGTTGAATGGGCAGGGGTGAAAACGACAGGAAAACGCCCAGCACCCCTGGACTGGTCCTCTGCATGCTCAGGTGGGCAGAGAGGCTCGAGCCCAGCGCTACTACTGCAGCCTCCTGTCTCTGCCTCAACCAGCCTCCATGCCCTGTTGACTGTGCTTCTGGAATGTGTCTCCCATCTGTCCACGTCTCTTCTTCTTCATGGCTGTGTCCCAATCTAGGCCAATGTCAGCTCTTACCTAGACTTCTCTTGCCCTTCTTCAACCTAATTTCCACTCTGAATTCAGCATGATTCTTTAAAAGTGCAAATCTGATCATGTTACTCTATTGTTCAAAATTCTTTGGTGGTGGCTTCCCATGATGCTTGGGATATATTATGTACGTTCTGACTGGGCTCTTCAGGGACCTGCTTCGTTGCATCCTTGCCTACCTCTCCAGTCTCAGATCTCCGCATTTTCCCTGTCATGCCACCTCCCACAGTTGTCACGCCAGCCATGACTGTTTATGCCGTGGTCTTCCTCACATTATGTTGCCTCTACCTGGAACACTCCATTCCTACATTTGTTCTAAGTCCTTAGTCTTTCAACTCCATCTTCAATGTGATGTCTTAAATGAGTCCTGCTTTGACGGCTGCATTTGGTTAGCTATCCCCTTTAAATTGCCCACAGTAGCCTAGTTTATCTTTTCTTTTCGGAAGTTTTAAAAGCACATTTGCAATTACTTGTTCAATGTCTGTCTACCAAACTGGACTGTAAACTGAAGACAGGAACCATGTCATTCTTGATAACCATTTTTGTGCGAGCTTGTCTAGTGCTTGGGATTTGGGATGACCTTCATAAATAGTTGAGTGAATCATTTGGGAGAGAGATATTTTATATTACACTCCTATATAAAGAGGGAGTGGAAGGGGAGCGAGCCAGCAAGGAGACAGAGCCACACCGAACTCCTGTTAACTAGCTTTGTAAACTTTGGACATATTCTTTAACGTCACTATATTTCAGATTTTTTATCTGTAAAATTGGGATTTTAATCATACTTCTCTGCAAAGACGGTTGTATATATTAAATGAGAATATGTGTAATGTATTTAGCTTAGTCCTCAGGGTATAGCAGGTGTCTACTAAATAGGATGATCATTTACCTCAATTTCCATGGGACAGCCCTGTTTTATACCTATTATTCTAGTGTTATTATTAAAAGTACCCAATTTCACTCTTAAATGGGTCCCATTTTGCACAATAAAAATCCCCATACCAATAGATGGGCTATTAGAAGTAGAAAGGAACTCAGGAGTTAATGGGTCCGTTCCTCCCCTATTTCACAGCTAAGAAAACTGAGGTCAGGAGAAGGGGTTTGCCAAAGGACATGTAGCTACTTGGTGGCAGAACTGGGTCTCCTAACTTGGAGAGCACTGTTACTTCTATGACCACATCTGGCTACCTTCTTAATTTCAGCCTTTTTGGACAGGTAATGGTCAGCTTTAATAGATCTTCAAAGGTAGTCAATATATGTACATAAACAGTCAACTAAAACTACCCTTTAAACCCCTACCCCTCTAGTACTTTTTGAACTGCCTCTTTCTCCAACTACTTTTCAGTCTTCCCCAGTCCCCACCCAAAATGGCATTTCTGATTCGTCTCCATAGATATATGTAGATGCCCTCCCTGTCCTTTTGATTATAAGTAGTTTTACTTACCCACGTTTTTTCCATGTATGTGGTTCTCTCTGTTTCTTCTCGGTTGAGCAGAGTCCTGGGAGAGCATGGCCCGCTGTGCTGGTCTCTCCTAAACGGTGTCATTAGCAGGGAACCACCTAATATACATCATTAGGGCTGATAACTGAATAAAAGTCTAAACCTTGTCAGCAGAGTGGCCTTTCTCTGCCCTAATGAGAGAGATACTTGAGCAAGGAGAGCTCTAGCCTAGAAAATTAGCCCAGATGAGGAAAGTACAGAGGCTACCATACATCTTTTCATGCTACCCACAGAGGGAATTATTCAATGAGCAGATAAGCTTTGCTCTGGTTTACTTAATTATAAACAATCTTATTACCTTATACATATGCTTTGGTTTTATTTATATTTAATGTTTTAAAATTCCAAATAACAGTACTTAATCAATGCAATTTTTTTTTTTTTATTCAGTAGAACTGGCTCTTAATGATTTTTTGGTCATTTTCCCAAATTAAATCTATCTGGGGGTGGGGCAGTGGTTAATCCTCGCCTGAGGTTATCTTCCCATTGATTTTAGAAAGAGTGAAAGGAAGGGAGGGAGGGAGGGAGGGAGAGAGAGAGAGAGAGAGAGAAATATTGATGTGGGAGAGACACATCTATTGGTAGCCTCCTGCATGACCCCGCTCTAACTGCTGAGCCAATCCGGCCAAGGCTAAATCTACTTTTAACTGAAGGTGATTTTATCCTCACTGATGGCATTCGAAAGAGTACATCCTGTACTGTGGAGGGCCTTGTGAGCAGGTACTGGACCGGCCACTGAGAGGCCCTTGACTCCAGCTTTGGGCAGCTGTTGGCAGCTTCTGGCTGGTACCTGGGCCTCTCTATGCTGGGGTGCCCCTTTCAGGCAGACTCAGCCACCTTTAGGGTAGTGAAGGGGGCAGGAGCAGGAGGAAGTGAGCAGGACCTCCTGCTTTTCACCGAGAGGCAGACAGAGCGAGTGTTTGCCTGCCATTTAATCAGAACTAAGGAAAAAATAAAAGTGAAGAAGAAAAACAGTTATATTATGTTTTATTTTCTCAGCATACAGATGTGAAGGAAAGTGGAAAGAAATCACATGGACGATCCCTCATGACCAACTTCGGAAAACATAAGGTATGAATTAAGATCGATATATGTGTGTAATTCAATGAAGTTAAATTAAGACTGGAAGGTAACAGGAGAATATCATCATGACTTTGGAATATCTGAAGATTGCTCAAATAGGACCCCAGAAAAGGAAAAGGTTGATAATCAAACTACTCTAAAATTTAGAAATTGCTGTTCAACAAAAATATCAAAACACAAGTAGCATACTGTGAAAGAACATTTTCAATACATATATCCAACAAAGGTCTTGTATTCTGACAAATCAATAAAAGACAGGTACTCTAAATTTTTTTAAAAATTGAGCAAAAGACTTAAACAGCACTTCACACACACACAAAAAAAATTGAAATGGCTAACTTGGAAAAGGTACTCACCCTTATCAGTCCTGTGGGAAATGCAAATTAAGATGGCAATGAAGTTCCATGCACACCCACCACACTAGCAAAAATAAAAACACTGACAACACCTCGTCATAGTGAGGACGTTGAGCAAATTAAACTCTCATACACTGCTATAGTACAAATAGGAACTAGTTCCAATGTTCATCAATAATAGAATGAGTAAAAATATGGTGTATTCACATAAGGGAATATTTATCAGCAAAGAGAAAATTGCAACTGTATACAATAATATGATCTTTATAAACATGACATTGAACAAAAGAAGCCAGGCCTGAAAGAATACATACAGTTTGATTCCATTTTTATGAAGTTAAAAAACAGGCAAAACCAAATCTATAGGGTAAAATCAGACTAGTAGTTATGTTTGGGAAGAAGGCAGTGACTGAGGGGAAGGATCATAAGGCTTTGAGGAGTAGGTAATACTCCGTTGTCTCATTTGGTGGTTTTGTTTTGTGTAAAGTCATTGTACTGTGTGCTTATAATTTATGGTACTTTCCTAAATGTATGTTACTCCTCAATAAAAAGATTATGTAAACAATCACTTATTAGATAGTGAACTTTGTGCATGAGGTTTCTATAAGGCCATTTCTTGTATTTTAAGGAATATTATATCTGGAATTTCCTGTCCCATCAATAGGATAATTTATTAAAATGCTCAAAAAATAGTCATTATAACAAAAAACTGAAAACAACCACATGTTCACCCACAAAGACGACGTAAGTGAACCATGATTCATTCACATAATGGATAATTATGCAGCCACTAAAAGGTGATCACTCTAAAGAGCTCATCATGCAAAACATTAAGTAAAAAAGTAGGATGAAAAATGAATTATACGGTACATTAAGCCTGATAAAATGTATCAAAACTGTATGTAAAGAAAATACATCATTTTTTTCAAATATTATCTACCATTGGTGATTCATTTCTTATTTCTTTTTGCATTTTATGTTAAAAATGAACTTTAGAAAGACAGATTTATTATAACACCTCAAATTACTAATTATATGTAGAATTAGAGAATATTTCAGTTCTTTATTACAACTACTGATTTAAATTAAAATTATTTTCCAAAGTAAACCTTTTAGGCTGTACTTCTACTATAGAAATTGAATTTATTATGCCTCAAGTCATAAGAATGAATGCCCACAAAACTATTTATAAATTCTTTCAATAAATGTTAATAGTACTTTAAATTGAAGGTTAATATTATGTAGCTTACTGAATGACTTTCTGTGCCATTTCATTTAATCACCACAACAATAATAATCCTTTAAATTGTCCTGCCCTTTTAAGAAACACAATAGGAAGCTGGAGAGGAGAGCCAGCTTGCCATCTTGGTGAGAAGCCAAACTGGCACGTGAGATCATCAGAGTTTAGGGTTCCCACGCCATGCACACAGAGGTTTGTGAGTCATAAAAAACACCCGAGAAGGTTCTAGACTAAACTGATGCCTCACTGTGAGTGCAATAGAGTTGAGTGTGTGTATGCGAACAGTGTAGCTGATTTTTCATTTGTTGAGTATGAAACAATCTGAAAGGTCTAATGGCAATGTGAGGTTGGAGTCCCTTTCCTTTTTTAAAGCTCCATCCTCCAGATGTCCAAGGTACTCTGTCTAACAGTCTCACCTTTGCTTGTGGAAGGTGTATTTCTGGTGGCGAGGTTTTCTGCAGCTTCCTCCCCATTTGTATGGTTAAAGTATGTGTTGCCAAATATTGGGGTTATCTCCAGTGCGGTAGGAGTGAAGCCTCCTCATTCCAGAAAGATTTTTATGTCTAACAGCTAATCTGTCCAGAAGACACCAGATTAGTCCTGCAGCCTTGCAGCCTGAATCCTGTAGGTAACGATTTCATTCTGCTGCTAGAAATTAAAATGGGTCAAAACCTCAAGAGAGCAGTTTGATATAGATGGTTATTTGCATGTATATAGATCAAAAGCAGGCATGGTAGTTAATCATTAAAAAAATTACTATTAGCTTTAAAAAAAATCAAATCTGTCTTTTAATGTCAATAGGAATAGTAGGCTTCCTATAAAGAGGACATACTATTCCTTATTATTACTTAAATAGATGTTACAACTTTGACCCTAATCCTCATAGAGTCCTCTTAGAAAGACCTACATTTTTTTGTGGCTTAGAAGTCTGTTTTAGAGCATGAAATACTCAGTTTTGCTTTAATGTTATAATTATGCCCATAGTCATGCTTGTTATTAATGTTGAGTCAAGCTGCAATATCTGGTCAGTTTTTTCCCCTCCAAGTTATTTTGTGTGTGTATGTGTGTGTGTGTGTTTTAAAGACCAGTTTATTCTCTATATGTTGTAGATGTACCTGATGCAGTGAGTTTGTTATTAAGTTTGCTGTGATTTTTTTTCCTGCAGAAAACCACAAAATCACAGTCTAAATCTTGTAGTACTGATGACGAGGAGGACACACAGCAGAATCCTGGAAAGGAGATTGGACAGCTGTACAGGTAAGAAACTGCCTCCATGCCTCATGTGCAGATTCTCCAGGTCTCTCCATTCCATTAGCTTGTTCGGTTTCAGTTGTATGTGTCTAGAGAATTGGATCACAAGGCCAAGTGTTCAGTGCACTGGGACCTGTGAAGATCAACTGAATATGAGATGATAATACAGGTAGGGGACGTATACTGTGCCTGGCACGCAGTGAGCTCTTGATAAATGCTAGCTGTAGCAGTTGTCAGGTAAAAGGTACCTCAGAGAAGAGAGCGAGTGGACACATGAACTGTACAGCGGACCCTCACAGGAGACGACAGGGGAAGATAAATGATAAGCACATGTTAAGAGCCAGGGATCTGAAATCAGCCAGACTGCAAACTCTCATTCCTCCAACCTTAATATGGGGCAGGTTAGGTTCCTCATTTGTATCTATTTCTTAGGGACATGTAAGAATTAAATGAATTGGAGTACTTAGCCTGGTAAGCCCTCTCCCAACTAATTAACTGCTCAAAAACATTAGCTGCTATTTTCTTTATTATTGTTAGTAGAATTTAGGATGAGTAAATTGACCATATTTTTAGAACCCAAATTATGACACGTGATCTGCTGTAGGATCTTCTGGCAGTTCGTGTACACAGTAAGTCTCACAAAGGAATGTAAGTTAAATCACAGATACATAGACAAACACGCGCATGTGCACACATGTGTGTGCAGACATGCACACATACACACAGCCCCGCCCCCCTATTCCTGTGCCTTTATTGAAAGACGGAAACTAAATGAAATCAGAAGCATAGAGATCTTGTAGGACTGGATGGCATGTCGTGGTCAATTACATTTTATATTTGAGTTGCCCTTCAACAGAATGTCCATATGTACACTAGTAATTAATTAGCAAGGGTAGAGGGAATATGTGTAGTCCCTACCCTCAGGGTACAGAAAATCCAATTTGTAGTTACAGTAAAGACTGTAAGAGAGATCTTCTGGAAGATCTCTGCTGTGAATGTCCTCAAATATAAGTGTGAGAAAGGCTCAACTCAGCCCTACGGCCAGGAAGGAAGGGCGCTTGCGGAAAGCCATGATCGTTTTTTAAAATCAGTTTTATTGATTCATGATTTCAGTTCTTATTCAGTCCGTGATAATCTTAATGTGTACAAACAAGACACTATTACAGGTATCACATGAAATCACATTGCTTGATGCTCTTGAGTTAGAGATTTGTCCATAATAGGTCTCAAAGCCTAAGCATCAATCATGGTGTCCTTTTGGGACGTTAGTAAATTAATCCACTCCCAGGATAAAGAATAAAAACAACTCATTTTATGCAGAATTTCTCTGTATCACAGATTGTCTTGGAGTTTTACTTATAATTTCTGGGCATGGCCTCACATTGATTTATAATCATTAGCTTTCACAATACCAGATTTTCACCAACGACTATAGAATTTCCTAATTATATGGTAAAGGAAGAATGTGCACTCTCCTCGTTTATTTTTATACCTAAGTTCATGACTTCTTTCTTGGCAAAATGAATTGTTGGTGCATTTGGTCTTAATTCTTTTATTGAATGTATGTAGGTACCATTAGGATAAGGATTTTTGTCTGGTTTGTTCACTACTTTATCTCTAATAGGTGCTCAATAAATATTGATTGAGTCAATGAATCTATATCATTACTTTCTAAATTCCGGAATATTTATCACATCAAAAGTACTACCATTCACAGCCACTTCCCAGCTCCCCCACCTCCCACCCCCAGTTCTCTGGCACCAACGATCCACTTTCTGTCTCTACAGATTGCCATTCCAAAACATTACATATAAATAGAATCATACAATATTAGGCCTTCTGTGTGTGACTCTTTTTACTTAATATGTTTTCAAGATTTATCCATGTACTTCATTACTTTTTAAATAATTTTCTACTGTATGGATATACTGCATTTTATGTATCCATTATTAGCTGAAGGACATTTAGGTTGTTTTCATTTTGGGCTATTATGAATAATGCTGTTATAAACATTCATGTATAAGTTTTCGTGTGTATATATGTGGGGGTTATTTTGTTGTTGTCATTAATTCTCACCTGTGAATATTTTTTCCATTGCTTTTTAGAGAGAATGGAAGGGAGGGAGGGAGGGAGGAAAGAGAGAGACAGAGAGAGAAAGAAACAGAAACATGGATGTGAGAGAGACACATCAATTGGTTGCCTTCTGCAGGTGCCCCAACCAGGGCCAGGGATCAGACTCCAGACCCTTCTTTGCACAGGCTAGTGCTCTAAACCATTAAGCCACACCAGCCAGGGCGTGTGGATATATGTTGTTCTCTCTTTTGGGTATATACTTAGAAGTGAGTTGCCTAGTCATGGGGTATCACTGTTAAACTTACTGAAGAACTGCAACACTATAAACACTTGAACTGTTTTGTATTCCCCAACAGTGTTTGAGGGTTCCAATTTCTCCTCATCCTCACCAACACACGTTCTTGCCTGCCTTTTGGTTATAGCCTTCTTAGCAGGTGTGAAGCAGTATCTCATTATAGTTCTGATTTGCATTTTCTAAATGACTAGTGATGTTGAGCATCTTTTCATATTCTTATTGGCCATGTGTATTTTCTCTGGCGAGGATGAGCGTTTTCATTAGATGTTCCCTCGGAGGAGAAAAGTTTGCGTGTGAGGAGAATGTGGAGCACTGTACTGTGGATGGGTAGGGGCAGAGTTTGTAAGGTTGTACAGGAGATCCTAGGAGTGGTTTATAGGAGAGAGAACAAAGTAATGGGTGTTTGTTTTATGAAAGTTGAAGAATGTAGAAGAAGCTTAAAGAAGAAAATAAAAACCACCATGTCATTATACCTCTCAAAGTTAATCACTATGGAAGTTGGGGTGTATTTCCCTTTAGATATATTATAATTCTTGTGACTCACAATGCAATGTTTCTATTTCTTCGGTTCAGAGTCTCCTTTGGCCAAACCAGAGTAGATTCCTGGTGAACTCTTGTATTAACCCCTCGATGCGTAACAGTGGGCATCAAGCCCTTCACAACAGAACTCACAAATACAGGAGAAGAGACTGATTCTGCATGAGCTGTGAATATACAACATCAGTAGGGTTTTGTAGCGGAAAGAGTGCTGAACTAGGAAACACACGTGGGTTCTAATCCTGGCTCCCTTTGGAGCAGATAGGAAAGGGACAGTAAACAAAGGCCCAAACGTCTTCTGGGTCTAACGTGTCATGAGTCCCTGGCTGTGTTCCACAGGTTGGGTCGCCGAAGGAAAACCATGAAGCTCTGCCGAGAGCTCTCTGACTTGGTGGTGTACACCAACTCCGTGGCAGCCCAGGACATTGTGGATGATGGTAAGGACTGCGTGTTTTTTCTTCTGGGTAAATATTCTTGACCTTTCTTTGTCCACAGTTAATTAATCTTTTGTTAATCAGATCATCAGTACACACTTCTGAAATGGGTACAATCCCACTTGAGTTGTCGGGAAACTGACTGCTGGTACAACGCTTTTAGCTCACTAGGAGGGCTGTGTTGATTACCGTGGTTGCCTGATTGTCTAGAGATGAGAGAAATCTCCTACGGGGCAGAGGAGGACCTGGTTATAAAAAGACAAATGCATCAGAGCAAAGTCTTTCCCAACGCTTGAACTATGGATACCTGACCTGGATTGATGGCCATTTTCAGTGTGAATGACCAGAAAAAACTAATTAATTGGCCTAAGTAACAGCTCGAAAAGCCTTGCATTATCTCATTGGAAAATTTGACTTGGTTGAAAATAATTTAATCCAAAAATTGAGGTTTTAACAAAAAAGAACGAACATTTCAGAAGTGCTGACTCCTTCACTGACTTTTCACCTGGGAGCGGCCATATATTGAGTTGCAAAACCCTAGTCACAACTGTTCTTACCCCGGACTCTCCCTCTAGTGGCTCTTTTCCCTTATTCGCTGCCCTTCTCATTTTTATTTTGATTAGTTAATGAATGTGCATAGAAAAACCATGGTCATGTGGCTTTTCAATCTATTTTCAATTTTAGTAGAAGTAAAATGTAAGTCAGAATCTCCCATTTTCTCAACAAGTGTTAGTGAAGGGGAAGCAGCATGTGGTGAGGCTATGTCCTTACCGACCTCCAGGATTTTCCCCCAGATCTCTTTTTAACCCCTAACTCATAAGTGTGTCTTCTCCTATCTGCAGATTTCCTTCCCTTTGATATTGATTTCTTCTTCAAATGGTAACAATGATAAACATTTTAAATTAATTTCACATGTGAGAGCTTAATAACTGTGGGAATTGCAGCACATGAACAATACATTCTTGTAATAACTGCCCACAGCTAGAAAATAAACTTGAAGTGGTTTCATAGAGTGGCAGGTGTATTTGGTTTAGAGAAATATAATCTCTAACAAATGCTTTAGGAAATCATAATGCTATTAGCTTAATCGAAAAATAATATTGAGTACTATTTAGCTCTTGAACTTCAGCTGTTTTTGTCTTTGGTGGGTTTTCTTTTTAGCCTTAAAATGAACAAGAGATAATGAATGAATGGCTTATTCTAATGCAAAGCCACTCAACTCTATTAATATTAACTGATACATGCCTGTTTATCAAGGTCATCTTAATGACAATGTGGTGTGCATATTTATGTGGAGAGACAGCAAACAGTAGTACAGACTCCAGTATTACACTGTATGCATGTGACTTGTCAAAAAGACTATATTTTCTCCTATCATGTTCAAAGTATTTATCAAAATCTTCAAATAAGGTCATTTTTAGAATATCTGAGATGTGAACTATGTTAAGTTAATGTCAATGAAATACACATGCTAAGGAAAGAATTCATATGAGACACATCATCAGATTAAAAGCTAATTCTCTAGTTTCTTTGCCTCCTACCTGTATTTGTGACTGTTCTAAATTTCAGCTCTAGAGGGTAATTGTTAGTCATTTGGCCAGCATTTACTACCTACAGGTGTACAACCCTGAGGACTACGGGGCCCTGGGAGACTGTGTGCTCTAATAAACATTCACAGTCTGGATATAATTCGGGTCAGTGGCCCAGCTACACTATAGCTCCACTCCTTGGTTTCATGGGCCATTTCCCTCTGTCTGAGTTCAGATGCGCTCAGCTGTCACAGAACACATTGGAATGAAAATGAGGCTCTGGGCAAGTTTGGGTCTTTATCTAGACTGACCTCTTCCAGCAGGTCCAGGAGACACACAGGTGGTTGTTTTGGGGTGGGGTGTGAATGTTTGGTGAATGAGTGGGAATAGTGGGGGTATTGTAGACAGTGCAAAAGATGGGATTGGGGAAAAGCGTAGGATATTCAGTGTTTGGAGGTTTACTCCATCATAAATCTAAACTCCAGGCTTGCAGTTTCCTTGGCCCTGGATTGACCCTTCCTGATGATGGTCCAAGTGGAAATTTTAGTATAAGTTTTCTGTTAGTTTACCTCCCTTTATTTTTCCACCATTTATAAATCCAGGTAGGTGGATGATTATTCTTGTTTCTGAAACTTTATTTCTTTATAATGCTCTTTTGAACTCTTTCTCCATTATAATTTTTAGCTGCCAAACAGTTTTTGACTACTTCCATAGTTCTACTCAAATTAATTATAAAAGTCAAATTTTCTTTTTTGGAATTTTTTTTTCCTCTTTATTTCTGAATGCTGTTAGTTAATATGTGTTTCATATGTGTGCTCTTTAGATAAGTGCCTTCAGTGAGCATCTCCCTGTTATCAGGACTAAGTTACATACATAGTTTTATTTATCCGTGACTATCTATATCTTTGGCAAAGACATTCTATTTGAATTATGCACCTAAATTTTTTTTCTGCCCACCCTGTTTATTCTAGCCATATAGACATGAATTAGTGAGATGGTTGAACTCTTGGGAGAACATGGGACCTCAAAAATAGTTATCATCTGACCAGTGTGGCTCAATGATTGAGCATCAACCCATGCACCAAGAGGTTGTTGGTTCAATTCCTGGTCAGGACACATGCCCATGTTGTTGGCCCAATCCCCAGTGGGGTCATGTAGGAGGTGGCTAATCGATGTTCTCTCTCATCAATGTTTCTATCTCTTTTTCCCTCTCACTTCCTCTCTCTCTGAAATCAATAAAGGAAAAATATTTTAGTAAAAGAAAAAATAGTCAGTTATCTCAGCACAGCTCATATTTGGCCTCAAAGTGGCAAAAGAGTCCCAGAATGGAATTATATGGGTCTTTCTTGGTCAGGAGCTGCCTCTGCCCTTGTATTGTGGGTATAATCTCATATGTTGTAAGGTCTTTTGTGAGTGTTTTTGTTTTTTGTTTTCCTTTCTATAGTTCTCATTTTTCTCTTTTCTTTGTTAAAAACTGCCAGGAACCACAGGGAATGTGTTATCATTCAGTGAAACAAGAGCACATCAGGTGGTTCAGCAGAAGTCAGAGCAGTTCATGATTTATAACCAAAAGCAACTCACGAGGATTTACCCCTCTGCCTATCGCATTGACTCCAGTAACTTCAACCCCCTGCCCTACTGGAATGCAGGTTGCCAACTAGGTGTGTATACCTGGGGAAGGCGTGGTTCTCTGTATGTCTTGAGACTGTGCTGACATTTTACCTTATTCTCTCAAACTTAAACTTATACAGTGGCACTGAACTACCAGTCTGAAGGGCGAATCATGCAGTTAAATCGAGCCAAATTCAAGACAAATGGCAATTGTGGCTATGTCCTCAAACCCCAGCAAATGTGCAAAGGTATGCATTAATTTCATAGTCATGTATCTGAATGCAGGCGCCTTCTATTGAAGGAGCTCTCTGGAAAGGGTGATACCCCAGTGCTTTGCAACATGATTACAGAAAAGAGATAGGTTAAGGTGTTGGGATGTAAATTAAAACTCCTGTCATGCTAGAGTGTTTAGGATGTTCTCTCCTGAGGTGATGCATGTGAAGAGGGACAGGGATTGTCACCAGAAATTCAGTGCCCAGCAGGATATTCACTGGGCATTACTTACAAATTGGACTGTCTTCTCAGGTCTGAGCCCTTTCAGAAGCTTTCTTAGGGAGTATGAGTTGGAAACCTGGTGGCAAAATTAAAATACCACCTGAAACAATTTTATCAAGCCCTTTAGACGGTATGTTCCGATTACAAAACAGTGCTAACAAAAAAGAAAAGGTAATGTAGTGTTAGATAAAAAAAAACAAACCAAAAAAACATGTGTTTTGTTTGTTTGTTTTGTTTTGTTTTTTGGTTCTGCTGATTAAAATTCTCCGAATTGGATTTTTAACAATTCCGGTAAAAATGTGTTGACAGGTGTTATCTTCAGGATTCTGTGCTTTGCTTGTTTTCTTGCTCTGCCATTTACTTAATTTTGGATCTTCTTTTTGTTTGTTACGTTCACTCTATAGCTGAGATGGTTTGGGTTGGGAAATTATTTAAATCTGACATAATTGCTCCCCTCTCTATACTGTTGGCATTCAGATAATACGCTCCCCCCGCCCCCATGCCAAGGTTGATAATTGCATTGCAGCCACTTGCTTTAAATTGGCCCATTCCTTTGCCATTGGGAGCATGGGTTCTAACAAAAACCACAGCAATGGAGATGCCAGCTGGTACTGCCTTCACACAGAAGCCACACTGATAGTTAGGTGATAATTTCTTTGCTCTAAGACACACTGGAGTAACCCAGCATTTGTTATTTCCTTGTTCTACAAGCTTTCACTGTGTGTGTGTGTGTGTGTTTCCATGCTACTGATCTTAGATTTTTACATCTGCTTACTTGGCTTAGGTACTTTCAACCCTTTCTCTGGTGATCCACTTCCTGCCAACCCCAAAAAGCAGCTCATTCTGAAAGTGATCAGTGGACAACAACTCCCCAAACCTCCAGATTCCATGTTTGGAGACCGAGGAGAGGTAAGTCACGTATGACCCGGTGGTTAATTATGTGATTGTTTTATTGTGTTCACACTTCATCCAAAATGTCAGTTCTGTGTGTGTGTGTTTATAAATGAGCACTGATCTCAGCTCACCAGATATTAACCAGCTTATGGGCAAAGCACCCACAGTCCTTGGAGGCATGAGTTCATGCAATTCAATTCATTATTTAAGACTGACACTTGCAATGCTAACATCAGGGTGCAAAGAACAATTTTGTTATTAATGGAAACATTGCATAAAAGTATGTCTTAACTTTCTCTCCACATTCCTCATCCCCTCATCTCTGCTGCACATCGGCCACCTGCTCCTGGCCACATGCTGACTCTTGTCATTTCTTGCTGCACCTCTGTAGCATGATTTTAAAAAGTCTTCTGTATGACCACTGCATCCTTTCTTTCTAGAGCTTTTATTCCATTGTTCCCATTACACCTGGTCTTGGCCTCAAATTTCTCCTTACCTATCAGCCCCTTCTATGTCAGGAGTGGCCCATCACTCTAGGCTCTTTGCCCCTCCTACCTGTTAAACCATCATTGCTGATCTTGAATGTTGATGAGGGAAACCATGCAGCTCTGCAGTTTGTGTTGCCATCAGCTCTTTGTCTCAAGCCTCAGCTGGCCCGTGATGCTGAGCTGCTGTCCTAGCTGCTTCCGTTATGCCCACTGTCCCGTTCTCTGCAGTGGCTATTTCTACCCTTCTTCTTCGTCAAACATTTGTCCTCATCACTTTCTTTCTCATCCTCAATAGATGGCATTATAGCCTACTCCTCAGAAAGTAGGAGCTTCATATGGGACCATTTCTTCCTTCTCTGTTGCCTCCAGCCTAATCCAAGCCGCCATGGTCTCTTGTCAGTTCCGATGCAATAGCCTTCCAGCTGACTGGTTGCCCCTCTTCCATTCTGTTCTCCTCTCAGCAACAAGAATAATTGTTTTGGTAGTATCAGAAAGTTTTTCCTTGCCTCTTTTTCTTTCCTTGTTTTTTTTTCTTTTCTTTATCCGCATCTTTTTATTTTCCAACATTTTGAGCCTCTGAAAAATTGCAAAAATATTAAAATTAACATCATATCTCCAACATCTAGATTCACCAAGTAAATTATTAAATTTTTTTGACATTTGCTTTCTCTTTCATGTATATATATACATATGCGTGTACATATATATTTGTGGGTAGATGTGTGTATACATACATACACAGACACATGGGAGAGAGAAAGCAAATGCCACAAAAATTAGTTATCATATATATGGTGGTGGTCTAATAATTATTAGAATTTCAAGTTGTGTTGAGTATAGATGATACATGGAGATTTCTGCCACAATCAAAATATGACGTGAAAATATCTATGATTTCTATCAGGTACAAAATTGCAGTACCAATACTACTATATTGGCCTTTAGTCAGAGGGTAATGAAAATAGTTTTTCCCCCATCCAGGCTCCCTGAAATCTCAGCCCATGATATCTCACATTATTCCTATTTCTGAGAATAAAATGACAATTTTTCTTGCTCCCAATCAGAAAGTGTCATCTTTAATTTTCACCCTTTTTTTTTTGTTGCTCTTCACATCTAGTAAATTATCATCTCTTAGGTGTCCTACCTCCCAAATCTCTCTCCAGTCTTGCTGCCACTATTGATCGCATCCGTCTGGTGCCTCACCTGGGTTACGGCAGGGAGAGGCAGACACTGTTATCCCAGGTTTACCAATGAGGAATCTGAAGCAAGACACTCAACTTGCTGAAGGTCAACACAGGAGCCACCCTTGGGAACAGAAAGTTGCTCTTCAAGCCTGTGGCGTTAGAATTCCCTAAAAGTAAAAATCACATTTATTAGCTCCCCCAAAATCCCCAAATCCTCATTGATACAGTTTTACCGCAGGGTTCTAGTCAAAGAAAAAAATTCTAATGTAAAATAAATAAAAAATGAGTAAACTTTAACACTGGGGTTTATTTAGTAAACCAAAAATGTGTCCACCGAATTGTCCTTTTTTTAAAAGATTCTTTTAAAAATTGATTTTTAGAGAGAGAAAGGGAGGAGAGAGGAACAGAAACATCGATGTGAGAGCAAAACATCTATTGGTTGCCTCCTACACATCCCCTACTGGGGATTGAGCTTGCAACCTGGGCATGTGCCCTGAGCCAGAGTGGAACCAGCAACCTTTTGTGGTGCATGGGATGATGCCCAACCAACTAACTGAGCCACATCTGCCAGCGCCCCACCTAATTGTCTTAACATGTCCTGTCATACCTCTAGCTCTTATTCTCTGAAATTCCCCCACAAAACTATATTCTCTTTACTCTCCAAGCTCCTAAAAATGTGTTTGCTGAGATTTCAATCACTCTCTCCTTTTTGGGGTCTTTAGGGTTTTAGTCCTTCTTTGCTCATTATCTGGAGCCTACACCACAAAGGAGAACTTACAGATGATCATTAACACAGAATGCCTTCCCATGGAGGAAGTTGGAGGAAGACTAAACGCTCATATTTTTTCTTTTGGTTACTTTATTTTTTATTTATTTTTATTTTTTTTATCCTCACCCGAGGACATTTTTCCACTTTTTGTTCAGGTAGAGTGGGAGGGAGAGAGAGGAACAGAGAGAGAGAGAGAAACATCGATGTGAAAGGAACACATCGAGTGGCTGCCACGCGCACAACCGACCAGGGCCGTGGACAAACTGCAACCGAGGTACGTGCCCTTAGTGGGAACCGAACCTGGGTCTCTCAGGACTGCAGGCCGACGCTCTAAGCGCTGAGCCAAACCGGCCAGGGCTCTTTTGGTTACTTTTTAATCTTCTTTTTAATTCTTTTAAATTTACATTATAGTACCCATTGATTTAACTACATTAAAATTCACAAATCAAATGAGGATAGCTTGATTATTATGCAACCCAGTTCAAAGACAGAACCCCTAGAAAGCTTCTGTCCACTCTCCCAGTCAGTACTGCTCCCCCATCGAACACCAACCCCTATCATAATAGACTGATTTTGTCTGTGCTGAAACTTGATGTAAATTGACTTTTATAGTATTTACTCTTTTATGTCTGGCTTGCTCAACATTGTTTCTATGTAGCAGAACTTTGTTCTTTTTCATTGTTGTATAGAATTCATTAAATGAATATTTCACAATTTATCCATCCCACTAATAAAAGACATTTAGGTTGTTTCCAGTGTGTGACTTTATGACTACAGTTGCTCTGAGCATTTGTGAATGGACAAAAGCTCTTATTTCTGTTGGGTATATACCCTGAACTAAGGTTGTAGATCATTAGGTAAAGTTTGTATGGCATTAATAGATACTGGCAAACAAAAATTTAATCTGCTCTTTTATTTCTGTCCCATGTATCTAAATCTGTTACACCTAGTATAATTTCTCTTTCTTGTTAAGCATCTAATAAACTGGGTTACAGTCAAAATGTGGACATTTTGGCCAGTATTCTCATATTAATTAACATGTATAGAAATGTATGAGTTGTTATAATACACTCTTTTTATTTATATAGATCATCGATCCTTTTGTTGAAGTTGAAATTATTGGATTGCCAGTAGATTGTTGTAAAGATCAAACCCGTGTGGTGGATGACAATGGTAAGGCTGTGATAATCTGTGTTCACTTTTAATCAGATTGCTCTAGAAATAGAATTTGCACTGAAAAAGAAAACCGTGTCTATAAAGAAGAGAAATTTCTGAATCACACAACTGTCATCTAAGTTTATGTTAAGCTCTATTCAACACATAAAACTAAGTAAACAGGATTGATGAATGGCATGTTTTGATGGACATTATAATTTAGCTCTCAAGACTTTTGCTTTTGAAGCAAAAATTTTTTTCTAGTGAAAAGAATAAATGATATTTTAAAGGGCTGGGTTAAAACTCCACTTAGGAAAATGCCTCCATTATATTTTTATATTGTGTTTCCATTATGTGAATTCTCAAAGCTTTTATTCATGAAGTCTATGCCTTGATGATTTCTCTTTTTTTCTGGAACATGTAAAACTCTAAAGGAGAATGCAGCATGCTCTGGCAAGTTTACTTGTTTTGGTTTTTTTTAATCTTCACCCAAGGACATGCTGAGAAAGAGAGAGAGAGAAACATCAATCAGTTGCCTTCTGCACATGCCCCAACTGGGGATCAAACTCACAACCCAGGTATGTGACTGGGAATTGAACCTGCAACCTTTTGGTGCACAGAATGACCTTCAACCAACTGAGCCACATTGGCTGGGCAAGTTTACTTTTTTTTAAATCCTTGCCCAAGGACATTTTTGCATTTATCCTCAGATAGAACAAGAGGGAGAGAGGAGGGAAGAGAGAGAGAAACATCGATGTGAGAGAGACACATTGAGTGGTTGCCACTCACATGACCCCAACAGGGCCCAGGGACAAACTGCAACTGAGGTACATGCCCTTAACGGGAACGGAACCCAAGACTCTCTGGTCCGCGGGCTGATGCTCTAACTGCTGAGCCAAACCAGCCAGGGCAAGTTTACATTTTGAATACATACATGTGGTGAATGGGTAGGATTCTTGTATTTGGGCCATAATGTGAAGACAACTTTCTTTACCTAAACTTTGTGTCTTTTCTTGGTAATCTAAAATTGTGTTTGTTTATACATTTGACAACATTGCATACTTGTTTTGCTCAATCTTTAAAACACATTGGAAAAATTAGAGGTGCATGAAGAGAGCTTAAGAGGAGTTTTTCTAAGCACGAGTTTAAGGAATGGAATTTGGGGTTCAAGAGAAGCACAAACGTATTCCTCAAATACCGTGCTTTAAGAAAGAGACTTTCTATATTGCACTTTTCTACCAATGTTCAATGATGTTTTTCCAGAAATAATTGACAGGTCATTACTAAGTCAACAAAAAGATAATTTCTTCTTTTGTTCGGGAGTGGCTGCTTTTCAATGATTTTCAGTCCATAATTATGTCAGTAGCTATGGTGTTTAACAGGGTTAAATGCTGATGACCTTGAATGCAGACATTTAATAAAACATTTTCATTTTGAGATAGGAAAAACGTATAGAATATTAAAATTTTTATCAGTTTAAATAATTATTTTATCTGAGAGAATCTTACCAAGAAATAAATGTAGTTTTGCTTTTAGAATTTGAATTGAATTATAGACCTTTCTGTTTATACTCAGTAGCTATAAAAATACGTCATCTTTCTGTATTAAGGTCTTCCTTCACTAGAAGCCTCCGGAAATCAATAGTGAATAGTCTAATTAGGCTATGTCACTAATTTATGACCTTAGTCACATTATTTTCTCTGAACATCAATTTTTCAACTATAAAATTTCAATTATAAATACTTATATTTCCTACTTTAAAAAAGGAGCATGTGTTACTTGAATAATTTTTGAAAGATAGTAATATACATTTTTTTTCTTGACTATAAAAAAACCCAAACAAATCTTTTGTACTACCCTCAGAAGATTGCTTTAAGAATTAAATATCATGACATGTGAGCATTGAAATCTGCATTGCACCTTCCTTTTAAAATGGTTGCTGGTGATTATTGCAATAGCAGAATCTTTGATGAGCTGCATAATTCTCTTGGTGGGGGTGGGAATCAGCCTTTATCGTTTTATGCTAAAACATTCTTAGATCCTTTTGACCTTAGTGAAGCCTCCTGAATATTATGTGAAAGAGCTTCCCCTATGGTGCAATTTGGCATCAAAGATTATTAGAACTGATGTAATCATTTACAGGCAACTTTCTTACCCGTGATTTTCTAGCAATGGGGTACATTCTGAGGCTTCATTCCAGTAAGGCATCCTAGAGTGGCTCGGTTGTCTGCCCCAGTTTAATAACCATTGCAAGCGATTTTCTTTTTTTTTTTTTTTTTAATCCTCACCTGAGGACATTTTTCCATTTTTTGTTCAGATAGAGTGGGAGGGAGAGAGAGGAAGAGAGAGAGAGAGAAACATCGATGTGAAGGGACACATCGAGTGGCTGCCACCCGCACGACCAACCAGGGCCGGGGACAAACTGCAACCGAGGTATGTGCCCTTAGCGGGAACCGAACCCGGGTCTCTCTGTACCGCAGGCCGACGCTCCAACCGCTGAGCCAAACCGGCCAGGGCGCAAGCGATTTCACTGCCTTCTTTGCAGATGTTGTAGCCAATTCATTTTTAGCCAACCCGTTTGCTTTTCTGATTTTTCTTTTCCTATTTCTCTGAGGATTTAACCCTGTGTGGGAGGAAACCCTGACATTTACAGTACACATGCCAGAAATAGCTTTGGTCCGGTTCCTTGTGTGGGATCATGATCCTATTGGACGAGACTTTGTTGGACAAAGAACTGTGACCTTCAGCAGCTTAGTGCCTGGTAGGTATGGTGTGGCCTTTCCTCTCTGGACTGACCATTCATTTTCTTTGGAAGATTTAATATCTGATATGTGATATACACAATATATGACATGGTAAATGCTTTATATGATAATATGTATTAACATGCTTTGTGAAATGTAAAGAAGTATAGTAAAGTCAGATACTTCATTGACTAGTACCAGTGGGAAAGCCAAATGCAAGTTCAACTGAAAGGAAACTACTTCTCTTCTCTTATCAGGCTACCGGCATGTCTATTTGGAAGGACTGACAGAAGCATCCATATTTGTCCACATAACAATCAATGAAATCTATGGAAAGGTGAGAAAGATCAAAGGGCCTAAAGCTGCATACAATAATATGTTCCTTAACAAAGTCATTTATTGACTAATTGCATCAGAGAAATGTACATCTTGATGAGCTGTTCTTTAGCAGAAAACTCTAGGGAGGCCCACTGAGCCCAGTGTGCTGTCCTGCGCTCAGGTCCCAATGCACACGTGCTCCTTGTACTCTTTAGGGAGGTGTACTCATTTTTTCCACCCAGGAGGCCTCTCTTGGCTCAACAGAAAACTACTCTCTCAGATGATCATTTGTTTGCCAAAAACAATGAAGATATAGTTAAATGTTGAATTTTATTTTAATTCTTAAGACGTCCCAGCTGGCTGCAATGGGAAATGTAGAGTCTCCGGTGTTTGATGAGTTACTTGTACTAACTGAGCTGTGAGCCCAGCCAGTTCTAGGCAGGGTGCTTTCACAGGATGCCACTGTATGTAACTGAAAACCTAAAACTCAAGAATTCAAGTGATTTAAGAGAAAGAGACTACAGAAATGTGTTCTTATTCTCTCCTGACGCTGCTCTCTTCACTATAGGACTCACTTGAGGTTTATAAATCAGTAGGCCGTCCTCTGGGCATGCCAAGTAATTGGAGACTTGGCCACTGGAATTAATTTTCAGGAGCAGGTGTGATTTGGAGGACTCTAAGAGCATTGAATATGGCCCAGAAATTATCAGTGCTCTTTTCCAGAAAGTCTGTGTAACCTGCAGCTTCTGCTGTAGAGGCAAATGCATTCTCTGTGCCTTAGCTTTCTCATCTAAATACGGAGTAAAAATAGTACCTACCTCATAAATAGATATATGTTATCCTCAGAAATCTGCCTGGCACATAAAAAATGCTGGAAAATGTTGGCTAATATTAATATTACCATGACCATAAGGCAAGTGCTAGGGAATGGATGAATTCAGACTAAATTAGGGGATACACGTTCCTCACTTCCGTGTGGGGAGGAGGTGTCTACGGATCCTAATCTCTAAGTGATGCAGTTTTACTGCATGACTTTCTATGTTTAGTCCTGGGTTTCTGCTTATACTTCTTGTTGAGATTTTCCCTCCAGCCTAAATACACACAAATATAAATGACTGAAAAGTGATTCTTGAATTTCTAGGAATCCCAGGTGAACTAAGTAGTTTCTCTAGTATTTATCATGCTTGGGGGAAACAATAAAATTTAGAAGTTGTTTAAAACTTGATCCAGAATTAACTATGAAAAAGAAAATTTTCCACAGGACTTCTCTCTCCTAAATAAGTGTCCACTTAGAAGACACATAATGTATTACTTTCAAGGTGTGTTCAGGTTGGAATACACAAACCACAATGGGGTGGTGGGAATGGAGCAATGAATGAACCCATGGCTAAAATCATGGCAAGTGGAAGAAAGGGTTTATAGAAGCATATGCATTTTCTTCTTCCGTTTTTACTTGCACCACCTTCTCGAATTGAGCCCAAATTGTATTTTGTCTGCCTTTTCCCTTGCAGTGGAGCCCTTTAATACTCAACCCCAGTTATACTATCTTGCACTTTCTAGGAGCTACCAAGGTAGTTTCTCCGCATGGTGCTTTGTTCTTGCCGGTATATGTCTTTTCTCAGTGGTTATGGCAGCATGCTCTCTCATATCACTCCATTTTCCTGCTTCCCACTTGGAAACCCGCATCTGTTGCTTTAAGGCGGCTGAAGTTTTTAACAATCTATTAACCGTGGGAACTTTTCCTACCACGTCGTCATCTCTGGGTAGGAAACTTCCAGGAAAGCTTGGCTGCGAAACTGGAAGGCTGCCTTGCTCGCCAAGTTAGGTTGCAAAGACACGCATGACGTTGTGCAAACATGCTGCCAGCTGCTGTTTTCTTGAATATACTCCAATGGCTGAAAAATTTCATTTCGTGTTCCATTTTTTCACGGGGCTTCATCTGAAAGGCAAGTTGTTGACACAGTGACGTTTGCTTAACTTGCGGTTGATCCTTTTGTACCTTCAGAACAGACAGCTCCAAGGTCTGAAGGGACTGTTCAATAAGAATCCCAGGCACAGTTCCTCTGAAAACAACCCCCATTCGGTTCGGAAGCGGTCCATCGGAGACAGGATTCTGCGCCGCACGGCCAGCGCTCCGGCCAAAGGCCGAAAAAAGAGCAAAATGGGCCTCCAAGAAATGGTAGAGATAAAGGATTCTGTGGCTGAGGCTGAAAGAGATCAAGACGGTGTTGTGAGGAGGACCACACGGAGTTTGCAAGTACGCCCTGTCTCAATGCCTATTGACAAATGTTTTCTGGGGGCTTTGTCACTGCCTGAGCCCGAAACAGCCAAAGACACCGAAGGAAAAGAGAACTCTCTGGGTAAGATGCTTTAAGTTTCTCTAAAAAGAAACCCATGTAAGCCGCATTTTGGTCTCTAGTAATTATAAGGTGGTTGACATTTTGTAGTCAAAGTAAAATATACTGAAAAAAAAAAACTCTTTAAAGCTATTTTTTAGACCAGATTTTAAACATTGTGGGGAGGGTGGTAGAAGAACTTGAGCCTTAAAATCACATTGACATCTGAGAGTGGCAGTGAGGGATAAGAGACACCATTGGGTAATTGCATGGAGCCTGTGGATCTATTAGGTATGATGGAGACAGGTAAAACCTGCAAAATGTGAGCAAAAAATAGAGAGCTTAGTTTTCTGAGTGGGTACCATATATACTGATTGTTCCCAGGCTGGGAAGAATTACATAGATTTTTCTGAAGTTGAATATAGTTGTATTTCTCTCACCGACATGTAATACATTTCTGCAACTGGAAATATTTATGGAGAAAGAGGAAAAGCTAGATGTTAAAACAAGTCACCATCTTTGCTTCCTCAAGAGGTAGCTCAGGTAATGTTTTCCTGTGGCCTTTTCTCCCCAACCCCTGGATGCTGGAGGGAAGGCAGCAAGTCTGTGGTTCCTGAAGCACAGGGACCAGGTGTTACCCATCTTTTCTCCTAATCTGAGCAGAATATTTCACTCATATCAGGAACTTGATAGAGAGTGATGCTTGCCTTGCAGTGTACCACGGAGCTCTTGACTTGTGTTGGTGACTCCTTCTCCTGCATTATTCTAGATAATTTAGTTCCGAAACAGTGTCCATTTGATGTCTCTGCAACAAGTATGTTTTAATTAAATCAGAGTCATCTCAGACAAGTAGAATCTAATACCTATTTCTATTCGGAAATTCTCCTTTTATCATACAATCTACTTTCAGTGATCGCTTTTCTCACAAACACCATTTTGCTTGTATTGATTTTTATTTTAAGATAGTCTAAGGATACAAACCAATTTTCAAGTGTTTTATTTGAAAGAGAAAAGGGAGTTGAAAACTCTGAAATTTTGCTAAGAGTAATGTCAGAGAAGAGATGATATACATGCTTCAAAATTTGTATAAAACTCTGTTTGGAGGAAAACAAAGCTATATTTAATAGAAATCAGTAGTAATTCTATTAATGCCAAAATTAAGATGTTAATACCATTAAGATGAGTTAGAAAGCATTATTGAGGTGATGTTTCATTCTTCCCTTTAAAAAATAATTACATAAGTTAGGATTCATACATCTATCTATATCTATCTAGATAGATTTAGACAGATATAGATATAGATATAGATAGATAGATATAGATAGATAAAACTTGTGGCAATTATGGAGCAATACATAACCATGGTGTGATTTAGTTATAATGTAGAAAAGAGTATTAAGTAGAGAAAATGCTGAATATAAAATTCTATACATAGTTCTATTTCTCTACAAAATTGTGCAGTGCCTGTCTCTGAGTGGGAACATCATAGGATATTTAATTTTTTTTCCTTATAATTTTTGGGGTTATCAAATTTTAATGATGGATTTTTTTAGTTAGGAAAATATTTAATAAGTTAAATTATTTTTTGTATATCATGACTGAAAGCATTGAAACACTATTAAAATTCGATCAAGAGTATTTAAACATCCAGTATTGTCTTAGCACTATACTAAGCATAATGGGGGCACCCCAAATTGCTGTGACTTGTGTGTTTTTGCAGTTTTTCTTACCATGCCTGACAGTTTTCTGCCACTTTTAGGGGAGAGTGCAATATGAAATATGTGTGTTAAAAACAAAAATATGATTACCAGAAAATTAGATATTCACAGTGGCATAGAATCAGTGACCAATTCTTCAATTTTACATTTAAAGTCAATATATATTGATATTTTAATATATTTATTGCACCTTCCAATTTGTTTTAGAAATTACCTAAATTTGATATTTTGTCAAAATGTTTTTTAAAAATAATATGACTTGTACTTTTTACTACTAATACCTGCTTAACGTTGAAAGCTTGCTTACAGGTACCAGAACACTTCGTTTAACAGAGCTGTCTTGTTCTGTTTTTATTGCCATGCTTCTGTGTAGTACAAATCTGAATAGGAAACAACTTAAGGTAATCCTCACTGTAAAAGTATGGTAAACTCATTGACATTTTTTTGGATAATGAATATTACATCCTTAACTGATGTAATAGATATTCAAAGGGAAACTTCAGTGAAATTCCTATAAATATATTTTACCATTTATTCATCACACAGATCTTTGTTGCAAATCTATGCAATCCATGTATATTGTGTCACAATGTAACAGATTTACATTCTCCATTTGTCTGTCTGAAGACAAACATGAGTGCTTGCAGCTTCTACACAAGTGCTACAGGTCACCTAAAATGTCGTTTGTTTCATTCAGCAGCAGATGAGGATGGCAGCCGAAATGGGAAGGCAAGTATAAAAGACCAACATTTTCCAAATTGCAACAAAAAGTTATCCTCTTCCTCCAGTGCTCTCCTCCATGAAGACATCAGCCAAGGGGACTCTGCTGTTTCTACTGCCAATATGTCAGTCACAGAACAGGTGGGAGTACCAGGTCCAAAGGGTGGGAGAACCAAATCAAATGTGTCAGGTGATGGCCAGGAACACCACTGCCCCAACAAATCCCTCTCCCCACGGCAGCATTTGGCTCTTAATCCTGCAGTGAACCTAACACAAGATCTGTATGGTATGAAAACCAAGGAAAATGAGAATGCTGGGGGCTTTGTGGAAGGGAAAAGCACAATGTCAGCAAGCATCCTTTCTCAAAGCGATCTGGAGATTAAAAATGCGGAAGGTAATTGGGGCAAGGGTAGAGCTGCAACATCCTTTTCTTTGTCAGACGTCTCTATGCTGTGTTCCGACATACCTGACTTACATTCTACTGCGATTCTGCAGGACAGTGACATTTCCCATCTTATTGACAATGTCACTTTAACAAATGAGAATGAGCGGGGCAGTTCCATCTCAGCACTGATTGGCCAGTTTGATGAGACCAGGGATCAGGCTAACCTTACAGTTGTTTCTCATCTTCATGGCACCAGTGTGAGGTCAGGCCATCCTTCCTTGCCTACCATGGACCTAACAATGCCCTTCAAGCATGGCTTTCCCAGGGGAAAACCCAAGTCATCCCTGCTGTGCTCATCTCCTGAGCGGATTGTATTCTTCAGTCCTGAGACCTCCGAATGCTCAACACACACAGTTGTTTGTGAAACTACCTGCACTCCCAATGTCTCTAAAACCAAACCAGATGATGACCCTTCTGGTAAGGCCAAGACAGGGGCCATGGAAAGCAGCCTGCCTTGTTCCTCTAATACTTCTCACTGCTGGTTACCAAAAATTCCCACCAATGGGAAATACTGGGAAATACTGAAGAACCGCAGCTCTGCCTCTTCCACTGACTTGACATTGGGAGTAGCTGATCCCACTCTCTGTTTAATTTCTGGAGAGAGCAGTCTCGTGGAAGTGGATGGAGACTCAGAAAACCTGTCCATAACCACCTGTGAATATGGGCGAGAAGCCACGGACTGCCTTGCTTCTCCTTTAACACTGAAGTACAGTCAGGATCTTCCAAGAGGCTTGAGAAATGGCTACTGTAAGGAGACTCTCTACCCTTCTGTCTGTGAAATATTCAACGATATTCAAGATGTCAAAAATCAAAGTATTTCTCGTCTAGCCTATCCAGGTGCTGGTTTTATACACAAGCACTTCTCAAATTCAGATGCAAAAATGAACCAGACCTGCGTGCCCCTATCTAGTGCTCAAGACTTGCGTGCTCCTGCACCCACACCCCCCCCACACCCTCCTCTGCCTGTGCTGAAGCTGCCCAGTCCTTGCAAATCCAAAAGTCTGGGGGACTTAACATCGGAGGACATTGCCTGCAATTTTGAGAGCAAGTACCAGTGTATCAGTAAGAGTTTTGTTACAACTGGCATCAGAGACAGGAAGGGTGTGACTGTGAAGACAAAGTCTTTAGAGCCTATCGATGACCTGACCGAGCAGCTGCGGAAACTTGTGTCCTTTGATCAGGAAGACAACTGCCAAGTGCTGTATTCAAAGCAGGATGCCAATCAGTTCCCCAGGGCACTGGTCAGAAAGTTGTCATCTAGAAGTCAGAGCAGAGTGCGCAATATTGCCAGTCGTGCCAAGGAAAAGCAGGAAGCCAACAAGCAAAAAGGGGTGAACCCCACGCACGTGGGTGGAGTGATTCTTCGAAACAAGCCCGCAGCGCCCCCACCCGCGGGGAACCGGCACTCCACCGGCTCCTACATAGCTGGTTATCTGAGCAGCGCCAAGGGCAGCGTGGAGGGCCGAGGCATCCCTGAGGGCGCATGCGCAGCCCTGCCTGCTGGCCACCCCGACCAGCTTTGTTCCAATAATTCTGTTTTGCAGACAGGGCCAAGCGGCGACGATAAACCAGAAATTTATTTTCTTTTGAGACTGTAAATTACATAAAGCTGCATTTTCAATGTTTACAAGATATTCTGTAGAATTGTCAGAGTTTTCAGTAAATAGGGTTCTTGGCTTTGAAATGATTTTAAAATGTATTTTTAAACTTGTATTTTGGTCTCCCTTTGACTCCATGAGTTCTTCCTGTTTCTGCGTTTATATATAGATTTTGGGTGGCATTTCTCATGTACCTATGATCTTTCTTCCCTGTGGTGTAAACTCTATCTGTATGAAATATATGCATGTCCTAGATGTGAAACTTCTCCCCTTGGGTTATGGTGCACCTGTTTTACCCAGACACGCTTTACTCTGAGCCCTCAAATCACAGTCACAAATGTAGTCATTTTTACTCTCTAACTTGATTTAATTAAGAGACTTTGCAAAGGACAAAGGGATGAATTCTTTATTTTAAAGCCATTATCATCTTTTCTATTTTTCTTTCTTTGTTGAAAAGCCCAGATGCATTTTTATAACTGGGTTAAAAGACGATTAAAATAGTTACTTTACCTTAAAGTTACCTTTAAGATTTCTCTCCCCCAACCAGAATAAGAATTCAATGGAGATTGGTAGCTGCTCCCCCCAGACCCTCTCATTTTACAGCAGGAAGTGAGGGTGTGAGGAATAAAGCAAACTTCTGTATATAAGGACAAAATTGTTTGTTTCACATAGATTTTGTTACATAATTTTGCTAATGGCTTTGTATGTAACAAGAACACAGTTGCCAAGTTGTTTGTTGTACTTTTTAATTTTCTGATTAAATTATAGAGCTCAAGTAATGGATTTCAGAATGAGGGACTTCCAGATGCTAACAATAGTAGTGGAAATTGAAAACTTCCGTCAAATCTTTTGAGAAAAAAAATACTTTATCACAATAAAATCCAAGTGAATAGATAATTAGAAGAAAACCTTTTCCTTCAGGAAGACAAATAACTATATTTTAGTACCAACATACATTATTTTCACTGTGAATCCATTTTTGTATTGCATGTTCAGATGTCCCTCTTTGCTTTTTTGGTAACATTAATTGCAATGATGTTCTTCTTGGAATTCATGAAAATATAATTAAAGCAGATTTTTAAACACTCTGGTGACTTTTTTTTCCATTGAAGTTCATATGACAGCTGTTAAATAAGGAACTGTGAGCACTTGGGAATATTTTCCTTTTCATCTCTTTGCAGCAGAAGGGATAAGTTCTACAGGGGACAGTTTTAAGCAGCAATTTATGTTTCTGAGTGTTTTCATTATGTCTTAAAGACCACATTTGTAAAGTGAGTTGTAAAGAAATAAAATGAGGTCTTTTTTTTGCATTTAGTGTTGATATTGCTAGTTAAAAAATATTCCTTCCCAAATCCTGCCCTGGGGGTGGGGTGCAGATAAAGGCAGTCAAGACGCTGTGTTTGGAGACTTCTGAAGCTTTGTTGTGAGGGAAGAGTGGGGAGGAAAGCAATCAGACCCTGATTACCCTTGGTCACCAACTCAACTTCCCCCCAGTGCTGAGGGCCTTGCTTTCTTTGAACAAGCACTGGGGTACTGGTTGGGGTAGGACTGTAATGGGAAAGGGAGAGTTACCCATTTTCATCCCCTTAGTGAACCTGAGATCTTTTTGTCTTCTTGGGCATTCTGAACCCACAAAGTTGGATTCTTAGACTTTGGTTTGTTTTTAAAGTATACTTGTCTTAAAAGAGATTGACATGATGTAAATTTGTTGAAATTCATTTGCCAAAGGATAGAATTTTGCTGCCTGCCTTTTGTAATTTGACAGAATCTGTACTCTTAAAGAAATGCAAGAGTCTATGTTTGGTTGTTAACCGTGTCTCAAAGTGATCCAGTAACACATGTTCGGTGCCAAGTGATGGGTTATCGGACCAACGCCCCAGAGCCCATGTGTGTCTGTCGCCCACACATGCAATATTCTTCTAATAGGACTTAGGAAGAGAAAAGAAAGTGATATCATAATTACTATTTAAGGATTGCCTAATAAAGAAGAGGCGGCAATAAATCTTCAATTTTACCACAAACGTTCCGTGCTCAGATTAGACACCGAACCACAGTGTCTTTCACTTTTTAGTGGAATGGACCAGGAACTCACACAGTCACAGGGAAATCACACAGCAGGTGAGATCTCAAGCAAGATATCAACAAGCTTTCTAATTTATTTATTTTTCTTTTGAGAGCTCGAGAGTCCAGGAAGCCCTCAGTCTGCCAAGTCTGACTAGAACAGACCCTGTAGTTTCAAAGTTTTCTCATTTGACTCCTTTCTTAGACTGGATGGAATATTCCAAGGCTGAGCAGTGACAGGTAGCTGGGAGAGTTGCCTATGGCAGTGACAGTGTCCACAGAGGGCAGAGTAGAGCTTCTTAACACAAATCTAATCAAGCCATCTTTTCCACTTAAAAGCCTTTGGTGGGTCCCTGTACTTGTGAAATAACATCCCAGAGTGTTGCACACAAGGTCTTTGATTTGGTGCCCTTGTTTGTTTCTACAGCATGGTCTCTGCCTTTGAATGCCCTTTTCTTCTTTGCCGACTGCCTTTTCCAAGATGTGTCCTGGAAGATCCTTTTCTCTAGAGAGCCTTCTCTGATTGTCATCTTCTCTTCCCTGGTTGTACCCAACCCATCTAGAATTACTCATTTCCATCTGAGGTCCTCCAGTTCCACTCCATGGTGTAGATCTGCTCACATGTCTGCCTTCTCCACTGGACCTCGACTTTTCTGAGGGCAGTAATCATGCCTTGAGCCCTTTCCCTAGCTCAAGGCCTGGTACCTGTTTGTATGGTAAACATTTGATAAACTGATAAATAAGAGAACTTGGGAAAAATGTGAGAGAAAACATTTATCTGATGTCTCAGTTTGTTGTGTGTCTGGAAGGAGGAAGAGGCATAGAATCTTGTTCCAAGTAGGTTATATTTGTTTCCCTTAATTCTATTTCCCTGAGAAGTGCTAGTATAAATGGTAGTGTGTTTTTAATTTCAAATTCTAGCCCATCTCTTTCTCTCCCCTTTAATTTAGTATCTATTTAGTCATTTACCATAAGTAAGAGTAGCTGGTTTTTATAAAGCATTCGGCAATTTAAAAAGACTTATTTTTAGTGTATCTCATTTGGTCCTTACAATAATTTTTTGATATTACTTCCCTTTCATAATTCCAAAAATGCACCTCAGTGAAAGTCTGATTTACCCAAGGTTATGGGGACTAAGATAGCCAAGTAAGGTTAATTTAACTCCTACTTTGGTCCTCTTTCCCCTAGACACCTTTGCCTTTCCTAAGACCTGAGTAAATGTTTAGTTAGCTTCCACTTTGAGCCAGACACTCAGCTGGGTGCTAGGATTATGACAATAGGGACTTGTCTTTAAGAAGCCACCAGCTGGTAGAGATGCTGAGATATAATATATTAGTTTTGTTCCAAATGTCTAAACAATTAGATACATATTACATATAGGAAAAGAGAATTAGGAAGTTATTTTGATACTTATGACCTCCATGGATAGCCCACTTTAAAAAAATCAATAAACTGGATTTTTAGAGCAATTTAGCATTACAGCAAAATTGAGCAAGAGGTACAAAAATATTCCCATATACCTCTGTCTCTCATACCCCCTACACTCACAACTTTCTCCATTAGCAACATCATCCACTACAAGTGGATGCATTTATTATAATTGAAGAACCAACACTGTATCATTATCACCAATGTACATAGTTTACATTAAGATTCACTCTTGGTACATTCTCTAGGTTTTCACAAATATATGATATGTAACTACCATTGTAATATCATACAGAATAGTTTCACTGCCCTAAAAATCCTGCCTATTCATTCCCCTGCCCCAGCCCTTGGAAACCACCGATGTTTTTACTGTTCCATGTTTTACTGTTTTTATAATGTCTTAGTCTTAAATCATATTGCCTTTTAATAATCGCTTCTTTCACTTAGTATATGCATTTACATTTCCTTTATGTCTGTTCACACATGATAGCTCATTTCTTTTTAGTGCTGAATAATATTCTGTGGCCAATATACCACAGTTAATTCATTTACCTACTGAAGGACATCTTGGTAGCTTCCAATTTTTGTCAATTATGAATAAAGCTGCTATAAATATCCATGTGCAGATATAAGTTTTCAACTCATTTTGGTAAATACTAAGGAGCACAGCAACTGGATTATATGGTAAGAGTATGTTTAGTTTTACAAAAACCTGCCTAACTATTTTCCAAAGTATGGCTGTACCATTTTGCATTTCAACCAGCAATGAATGAGAGTTCTGTTGCTCCGCATTCTCACCAGCACTGTTCTTGTTCAATATTGAGTTGGCAGTTCTGGGTCTTTTGATCATGGTTTAAACTTTAGACTCAATCTGTCAATGTCCACAAAATAACTTGCTGGGATTTTGATAGATTGTGTTGAATCTATAGCTCAAGTTGGGAAGCGCTGACATTTTGACAATATTGAGTCCTTCTATCTGTGAACTTGCAATATCTCTCCATTTATTTCGTTCTCCTTAGAAAATCTTTTATCAATGTTTTACAGTTTTCCTCATATAGATCTTGTACATATTTTGTTAGATTTATACCTAAGTATTTCATTTTGGGTGGTGCTAATATAAATGGTAGTGTGTCTTTAATTTCAAATTTTGCATGTTCATTCTTGGTATAAGGAAAGCAATTGACTTCTATATATTAGCCTTGTATCCTGCAATTTTGCTATGATGACTTTTTAGTTCTAGGAGGGGTTTTTTGGGGGTCAATTCTTTTATATTTTCTACGTAGACAATCATGTTATCTGCAAACAAAGCTAGTTTTATTTTTCCTTTCCATTCTGAATATCTTTTTTAATATTCCTTTTATTTCCTTTCTTGGTGTCATTGCATTTGCGAGAACTTTCAGTACGATACTAAAAAGCAGCGGTGAGAGTAGACATCATTGCCTAATTCCTGACCTTAGCAGTGAAGCTTTGAGTTTCTCACCATTAAGTGTGATTTTAGCTGATAGTTTTGTGTACATGTTCTTAACAAGTTGAAGATGTTTTCCTATATTTCTAGTTTTCTGAGAGGTTTTATCATGAATGGGTGCTAGATTTT